CTCACGACGCAGCCCAAAAAGGATGCGAAACGTCATAAACATAAATCAGTGCATCTACACCGTTGAAACTTGTTGAAGTTATACTTCTGTAGGCGCGTTATGAAAAAATGATGAGAGTGAAATTTTAAGATGCGCGCGCATCACTGTAACCCAAAATTTTAACAGCATGAAGTTGGTCACTTTAGCGACCAACTTCATGCTGTTACTTTTGTGTTTACCGCACATTAAGAAAAGCTACCAACAAAATAGAAATAGAATCTCTATTTAGTGGGTGCTAACGACTGCATTGTGAAGGCCTATCAAAAGTATTTATTAATATGGAACAACGGAACCAAAGCGCGATTCAGGAGACTACAGCGCCATCTCTTGACCATTGGTGTAGTGGAACCAAAAACCACATTTTTATTTTTTGTAATAAAGTAACAGTTATAGGTATTCATATTTATAATATTTATCCACATGTTTCTAGTTTGTATATTCGGAATACGTGTTTGAGTTTCATACAAGTGCAAATCACATATGTTCTAATAAATTATATTCAGTAGCGATTTTAATTGAATATTTTGATTATTTATTTATTTTTTCAAATTAAAACTGAACTTTATTGACTGTGTCCTTTTCCAGACTTTTTATTAATTTATTGTAATTAATTATTTGCATGCAATTAAAAACTAATTTTAAGTACACGCACCCATTTTTTTATTTAAACCACGTCATTCGTAACACAAATCAATATGTGTTGAGGTATCGACAGCTGGTGTGCTGGCTAGTGGGTGTGACATGACAGACTGGCTAAGGTCGGGCGCGCGTGAAATTAAACTAGCTCGCCGCCAGCCGCACTTCTCGTCACGTCGCTCGATCATCGATTGTGGTTGAGGATGCGCAAACTCTGCTGGCTTATTTATAGCAGCTTTCAATAAGCTGTAGTAGTCTACTAGAATAAATGCTAATCTATTCTAAATTTAAAAGAACTGTTGTTTTAGTTTGGTTGAAAATTGTTAGTTATACTTAACTTATTGTTAATTAATAATATTAATGTGATGAAATATGACATCAACACATGTTTTTAGTTTTTGATGTCATCTTTCAATTGACGACACTGTATGAAACAAAACAGGGAGAAAAAAATAGCCCTTGCTGAGTTTCTTGCCGGTTCTTCTCGGTAGAAGGTCTCCCGCCGTAGATTTACGAACCGATGGCGTAGCGTTTGACTTTCACAAGAGCTTGTAACAGCCTAGACTGAATAAATGAGTTTGAGTTTGAGTTTAATTAATTATATTTATGTTTTTATTTATTTTTAAGCATTTAACTGCTAGATGTTTAAATCTAAAGAAATGTTTTACTAGAAAAAAATCCACGCGGACCAGGCAGCGGACGGGACTCGAACCCGCACCCTCCGCAATCCGGGCGAATGCACTGACCATTATGTTACCACGGCCCTATTGGCCACGTCGAAATTTTCCTAGCCTTAAGCTGCAAGGCAGCGCCATCTCTTCGCATTGCAAGTAACCCACAATGTCAAATGAATACTTTTTCAGTATTAAACATTTGAAAGAAGAAATAGCAATTATAGTCATGTTTTTATTTATTTTTAAGCATTTAACTGCTAGATGTTTAAATCTAAAGAAAAGTTTTACTAGAAAATAATCCACGCGGACCAGGCAGCGGACGGGACTCTAACCCGCACCCTTCGCAATCCGGGCGAATGCACTGACCATTATGCTACCACGGCCCAATTTTAAATTAATTGTTTTTAATTTAAAACAACAGCACTTCCATGGTTAGTGCTCCGATGAATTATCCGTCTATCTGACGACCTCCGTGGTCGAGTGGTTTGAACGCCGGGTTTCATGGTGTCGCCGACTCGAGAGGTCCCGGGTTCGAATCCCGGTGGGGGCAGATGTTTGTGTGATGAATACGAGCATTTGTACTCCAGTCATGGATGTTTAATATGTATTTCTATATAAATATACTTATATATGTACAGTATATGTATTCTATCCGTTACCCTAGTATCCCATAACACAAGCCTTATAGTGCTTAGTTTGGGGCTAGGCTAATTGGTGTGAGTGTTGGAAATATTTATTTATTTATTTATTTATTTATATCTGTGGTGCTGTTTCAGCGGCCAAACGGTAAGAGATAGATAAAGAAAATATTTAAGTTATAAGTTAAGAATAGTCTGATAAGACTACAAACCGGATTTGAGTAACGTAGCACTTCCGGTTTTCGAGAAATCACGTGATTTCTATATCTTGGAAACGATAAGAGATAGTCTGGTTTTGGTGAACACTGGTTTGCTAGTTACAGTTAATACCCACAGCACTGTTTTACCACGTCGCCACCCGTCCCCGGAGTCGTGTTCACCCATAAGTATTATCTGCAGGGCCTGATTTACCCACAGACTAATAAGGCTTGAGCCTAGGGCGCCAAGACCAAGGGGGCGGCCGGCGGGCCGGGCGCGGCGCTGAGCTGCAGTACTATTCTGTAAAATTGTCACGCGCGTATCCGTTGTGGAACCGCGCGGTTACTATATAAATTCGAGCGGATCCACATCGGATCCGCGCGTGGAAATTTTACAGAACTACCCCCCTGAGCTAAGACTTATATAATAAAAATATTATTATATACGACTTCGTCCACGTTAACTTTATTTTTTTGAGAATCCGTCAGGAACCTAACTTTTTTTCGGAAAAAAAATATCCGTTGTCTCAATCTAGGTAATAAACTATGTATACTATACTAGTGTTTATGTGCGCCAATGTTTATCCAAATTTATTCAGCCTTTTTCCGATTTAATCAAGCCCGGCCGTAAGTTACTGCCCTTTTCGCCCCGTTATGGGTAATGAAATGAAATGAAAATGAAATGAAATGAAAATTAAATGAAAAATTATTTATTGGCCATCATAAACATAGTATATGACAAAAATAAAACTTAATCTATAGACGGCCAACCAGGACCCTGCCTCAGCATAAGCTAACATAGTGAGAAAAGAAAAAAAAAACTTCTCTGACCATGTCGGCGCTGTTATTCTGGGTAGAGTTTTAAAGAACCCTGATACATGTTATTGTTCATTTCAGGTCTCAAGTTTAAGTTCTGCGTTTGAAGTTAATCGAAATGTGCGTTAAAACTCATTTATATATTATTTAGAAGTTTCCATGCGGAGCCCTAAATTTTTGAAAATGGTGTCTATGCTGGCACGATTCTCTAAATCTAAACTTGAATTTGACAAAAGTGTATCCTTGTCATTCTCTATACAGAATGAAAATGAGAGACTGATGTTAAATTTAGTTTTAAGTTTAGAGAATCACGCCAGTATTGACACCTATAGCTTATTAATCAGTGATAATGTAGCATTCAAATGGTGAAAGAATTTTTAAAATCGGTCTCATACTTTTTGAGCCAATTCGTTACAAACATACTTCCTTTGTTTATACGTCCATGCTTACATTACAAATTTTTCCTCTTTAATATTAATATATTAACGACAAAAACATTCTGCAGAACGAAAGTCATGCAAGATATCATTACTCACTCAATCGGTTGTAAGCGTCGGGCAAGCTTTTACTCAAAGCGGGCAAGCGATATGGTACAGAGTGGTTTACTAAATGTGGTGGTGGTATAAGGGGAACTCTGATATTTATCGTACTGAGAAATTGAGGGCAAGCCACTAAATTTCTAACAAACTTAAATAAAGATGTGATAACCAAAAAAATTGTCCTGGTGAGAAGACTGTCCATATTGAAATGCTAAGTTCTTTTTTTTTAACTTTGTATTCAGTCTATTACTAAATGTGAGACGCTTTTCTCGACGTTAAGCATTTCTGAATGCTCTCAATACGAAGCCGATGTATACTGTATTGAGGAGACCAAATCACTGAACAGTACCCCTAGCACGAACCATTTTCGAATTCGAAAAGTTTGCAAACCGAAATGTCAATGTCAAATTTTGTATTTGGAAATTTGAACAGCAGCGCCACTAAGTACGTAACGAGAACTAAAAATCAGTACAAATTTGACAATGACATTTCGGACTCGCAAACTTTACGAATTCGATATTGGTTCGTGCTAAGGGTACAGTACTCTAGTGTGCTTCTGACAAAGTTGTTACATATATTCTGATCTTGGTTGAGGGATTTTTGCATACTTAGGTAGGTTTTTTTTCTTAAATAATGCTAGTGTTTAGTTTAGTTTAGTTTAGTAATAATGTAAAATATATCTATGTGGAATAAATATTAGTCTAGAATCTATTACACCCAAATCTCCAATGATATTTACCTCGTAATATAGTATCTTTTATTTTGTATTGTGACCATCCTGGTACAACGGGATTATTTTTTTGAATGATGGCGGCGGCGGTGTTCCTAAAAAGATTTATTTGACCAAATTATAAGAGAGAAGTGTTCAATTTTTAAATGAGTTTAACATGTTTCAAAGGCTTGTCTTTAGTCAACTGTAGAAAAAGACTAAGCTGAATAAAGTTAATACTGCATGTTCTTCCGTTTCATAAAAAAAAGAAAAAAAACAACGGTGTAACCAGTTTATAAATTTTGCCAGTAAAACAGATAATTGAAAATACTTTCGTTAATAATGATACACCAATATTATTTTTCGAAATTCAGATAAAAATATAAAATACAGCAAAAAAAATATAAAGAGACAGTAAAATATGAAAATTATTTATGGGCCCAATTCTGGCATAATTCATTAAACCGTAAATTTAATTTGAAAACAGTGTATCCTTGACATGCTCTATAATGAATGAAAGAGAGAGATAGATATAGGGCCTAATTCTGGTCTTATTCTCTATCTCTAAACCCAAAACGTATAAAAATATATTATCATCGTAATGTATTATGTTATATCGTTGTTCTATTGTATTGCGTAATAGTACACATTTCAATGAACTATTATGCTTCGCTTCATCCGAAATGATTCTGTCCTAATTTTTATTAGAAGCTTGGCAACACCGGGAAAAACGTCAAAAGTTCAAAACAAACACAGATTATAGAAGTCATTCATTGCGCGAAATCAATTCAAATGTTTTGTCCGCAATTAATCAGCTGTAACCTCAATTTGTTTGTTTATATGTTATTTATACAGTAATTAGTCATCCCTATAATCGAGTGACTGGTGAAGCAGTAATAATAAGCCTTTGGTGATAAAACGACGGCTCAACATGAGCTTTTGTAAAGAATTTATTTTTGTATTGTTACATGGGTTAATTTTAGTTTGCGAATGTAAATATGGGTTTATAACTTGGACAGGGGGTAAGGCAGAAATATCTGTGAGTGATTATTACGCTGATATACCTGATGTTCACGTCGCACGTGCAACTTACAGCAACGAAGTCAATTCAACAGGGTTCGTCATAAATATTTTTATTATGTTATTTCAACTACTAAGAATTTTGCAATTTGATGTTAAGTGGTCACTGTCGCCCTTGGACATCCTCAGTGCCACAGATACAGCAATGCCGCTGCCAGTCGCGGAACACTTTTTATATTAAGCCTCTCTTGAAGAGGACCATGTTTTAGTACTGAGAGTACACCGTGGAGTCCCCTCCACTCATTCTATCATTTTAATGTCCATAAAAACTAACCTGTACTTAAAACTTAAAAATTTGTGTATTTTTTTATATTAATTAGCAGTTTAATACTAAACAATAACAATACTTTCATATAAGCATATTATATTGATAAGGAAACACATCCTCTGTGTGTTTTTAAATAACTACCATCAACCATTGTGGTCTACTGATAATCAAGTCCTGGCCGGAAATATAGTGATTGCTTTATTTAACATATATGGTTATTTTAGCTTTTGATTCACTTCTGCAGTTTAAATTGAGAATATACTTTGTATAATATTTTTTAAAATTTTATTATGCATTAATTGATTTACAACAATTCAAATTTGAATTTATTTACTTGGTATATAGACTGTTATAACTTCCTGTAAAATTAAAAATGCAGAAAGCTTTAACTGAAATTAATTATAAATTAAAGAGCTGTCTAACCCGGGCATAATGTTAGTACATTATCAAAAACCATTCAATCTCAGGCATGTATGTAATGATAAGGTATTTATTACACAAAAAGTACATCGCCAGCCTATTACTGTCCCCACTGCTGGGGGACAGGTCTTCCTTATGGATAGAATAGGGAGATTGGGCAATGACATTTGTTTAATGTCTTCAAAGGATTGATGCCAGGGTTTGTATGAAATCTGGTCCCACCTACCAATAGCTGTGTATGTTACATTGTTATATAGGTATTTATGAGCTGATTAAAAGTTACTGTAGCGCCAAATTACAATACTTAGTCTGTTAGTCTAGCAAGCAAAGAATACACCAATATGTTGAATAGCAAAAAATTTTTGAAGATATACTTCTTTAGGCGCGTTATGAAAAAATGATGAGAGTGAAATTTTAAGACGCGCGCGCATCACTGTAACACAAAATTTTAACAGCATTACTTTTGTGTTTACCACACATTAGGAACATCTACCAACGAGATAGAAATAGAATCTCTATTTAGTGGGTGCTAACGACTGCATTGTGAAGGCCTATCAAAAGTATTTATTAATCTGGAACAACGGAACCAAAGCGCGATTCAGGAGACTACAGCGCCATCTCTTGACCATTGGTGTAGTAGAACCAAAAACCACATCTTTATTTTTTGTAATAAAGTAACAGTTATAGGTATTCATATTTATAATATTTATCAACATGTTTCTAGTTTGTATATTCGGAATACGTGTTTGAGTTTCATACAAGTGCAAATCACATATGTTCTAATAAATTATATTCAGTAGCGATTTTAATTGAATACTTTGATTATTTATTTATTTTTTCAAATTAAAACTGAACTTTATTGACTGTGTCCTTTTCCAGACTTTTTATTAATTTATTGTAATTAATTATTTGCATGCAATTTAAAACTAATTTTAAACGATGCCAAAGAAGGATAACTTCTCACGCGCCTACATAAGTACACGCACCCATTTTTAAATTAAATAAAGTCTAATCAAACATGTTAAAGGTTTATTTTAGACCAACTCTTTTAGATTTTAGATTTTATGCTGACTATGTATACCCTCTTTAGTATATCAAAACTATGAGTAATGTTAATTTATTTTTGAAAAATTATTGAATTCAGATGGGCATTTCTGGAACTCCACACAACTGAGGATTCCCCTGATGAGCAGCAAGCTTATGCAGCTGGCTATCTCGAAGGTTTCCTCACCAGAGACCTGATTTGGATGCATTGGCAAAATGTTCTCAAAGGGTAAATGTACTTTTAACTAATAAAATTTACCTCCTTTTCCTACTGACCCATTTCAAATCTTATTATAAGAAAAAGCAAGTGAGTGTCATGGAACACTCGGTTCCAACGAATTTAATAAAAAAAAACTCGGGGACTGCCGCGGTAAAGCTATTGCATAGCATTATTTATCAACTTATTATTTATTTTATTTATGCAGTATTTTTTTTTTCTTTGATATCAATTCAAGTTTTTTCTTTGATATTAATAGATGGTGAGATAGGCCTTATGATATTTTATTGGGCAAGCACAGCAAAAAACAGCATTGCCCGGCGCCAAAAAAACTTCCACAAGCTCCACAGTTTACCATCTTTCGTCCAAAAATTTAAATTATAATTATAAAGTCTAAATAAAAGGGAGACAAATAAAAATAAGAACAGGTGCTGGGGTCTAAAACAAATATAAAAAAAAGAAAAAAATAATAATTAAAAAATACGAGTGCGGGATTTGAACCGACGACCGCGGTGATGCGTCGAACGTTGGTCCCGTGGCAAAAATTTAACACACTGCGCCATTTCGATCGATACTGGAAAGGCGAAAATAGTGTTCATATGCACTGCTGTCAGGTTTTTTTCGTTACGGAATTTTTTGATTCGGTCGCCGCACTCAAAGCCCGCGATAAAATCTATGCAATAGCTTAAAAATATGTATAAGTAATATCGGTCGATTGTGACGAAAGAACCTTAGAGAAACCCGGGGCGCCGGGAATCTGCTTCACGCAGCGCTGCTATAAAGAACAAGAAATGACCTGAAACAAACACGCAGAGCGGACGCCCGCTCCGAGTCCCGCTTAACACAGCGCACGCTCTTACACCTTTATTTGGCCTAGACCACCAGTGTTGCCAGTACCTGCGTCGTGTTTCGGACGATTCGGAATCTGAAAAGGGACGATTTTTAGACAAAAAGGACGGGCCTGCAGAAATATATTTATCTTACGTGTTGTGTTGTGACGCAATCTGCTTCATACATTTGGTACGGTTAGAACTATATTTGTGTGTCGCGATGTCTCGACAGCTGTCTGATTTCTGAAATCAATATATCTTTATTCAAATTGGATGTATAGTAGAACTCTTTTGAATCGTCCAATTTTTTTTTCCCTGCCACTCGTTATTGGACATATTTTTTAGCTGCGGAGAAAAACGAGCGAGCGAAAAAAACTCCACAACATTAAAAGTATAATGTAACAACATTTACAAATCATTATGTTGTTACAACGTCAATACATTTATTTAATTTAGAAAACCTGTTGGAATGATTGGAACAGTTCATACCCAATCATTTTTGTCTGTAATATTATCAGACACTTTGTAATAAGCTTTTATAGTACCTAACTACTTTTTTATACTATCCACACAATAAAATAAAGAAGATGGTACGGAGGACTATCCACTATGATGTAGGTACAGTATGGTGGTACGAACGTATCACAGATTTTACAAAGTAAGCACTTATTCCTAAGTTATTATTATATTCATAATTGAAACATACCTCAAAAACAAAAGTTTTTACTAAGTAAGATAATGGTAGGTAGGTTTGAGCATTGGGTAGGTATATATTAAACGTAGGCATAGCGAGCGTTGGATTCGATGTAGTTTACTTGGTGATTTGACGAACAAAGTTGACAATGTGCAACGTATTGTGATTGCAATTTAGTGAAATAAATCAATGATTGAAACCAAATGCATTCGTCTAATGTTGCAGTGGAGCGTTATTGAAAACGGACGGAAAAAGGGACGGAATATGTAAAAGGATATCGAAGGGACGCTTTGATGACAAAAGGGACGAAAATCGTCCCTTTTGGGACGTTCTGGCAACGCTGTAGACCACATCCACCAAGTCCGTACCGTCCAAACAGGAGCCAACCGTCGTTCCAAACCATTTTTTTTAATAATATTCATTGTTAACGCCATCTATCCTCGACGAGAGAATCTACAATCGGTCCATCATCACGTCCGTTCATGCATTTATTCCTCACTCATTAGTTTTATATAGATTCACTCCCACTCTTGCGATTCGAATTCAAAAAGACAATGTACGTATAAATGCGATTCAAATAAGAATAGGAAAGCCAATGACCTCCATCTGTCAAATGTCGCTTGAAAAGTACGGTTTGCAAAAAAATCTCACAACCCTTTTTTAGCACTCCGCTAATTCAAGGATAAAAATCTAACATTTGTAAACAAAGAATAACAAATATTGATAATTAATATCGGTTGATATTTTTTTTTCATTTATTGAGCTTTGGCCATGAATGGTTGATAACCTAAATCGTCAACCAAATGTCACATTAAGTTGCGTTCAGAAACTCGATTTCAAACTTTCGTTTACATAAAGGATGCATGTTCGTATGTGACCTAGTAATAATGCATGATTATTCATAACTACTCTGGCGGTAATTCAGAGATGAGCAAAATAGAAGAGCTAGATTCTGATTAATGTTTTTTCTCACAGTCTTAATAAATAAATATTATTAAAAATCGGTGGTTTTTTTTCTCAATCTTAGTAAATAAATGTTATTTAAAAAATCTGTTGCTTTTTCTCACTTAATCATAGTAAATAAGTTTTATTAAATAAAAACTTTATTTTTGCTCACTCTACCTATTTGGTTTGAATTGACAGCTATGACATCACAATATGGCGCCCAGTCGGTCCTATTCTTAGTTGAATCGCATTATACATAATTTTATAAGATGTGTATTTTACTTTGAATAATATTGTACAATCCGAATATCCGTTTTTTATTGAGAAATTCACAAAAAGTAGACACTAAGCTATCGAACATGCATTCTAAGAGGACAATTTCACACTACAGTCTTACAATTCTGTAACAATATGTTCAAAATTTTACATCCATAAAATTAATTTACCTAAATACTTTCAGGTACTGTTACAACAAAACAGATGTATGTGGTTTGATTGAAGCATTTGTAGATAAAAATGAGGCGTACATCACTTCTATGGTAGATAAATATCCCAATGATCCATACTGGTATCAGGTAAGTGTGGCAATAATATCACTTTTTATGATATGAAAGCAACGATATTAAATACCCTAGATACACCAACACGAACAAAATCATGCCCGAAACCTGTCCAAAAGGTACATTGGACAAGGCAAACATTGAAAATCACCTTTAAAGCGTAGGGTATAAGGTCTTAATTAAAACGCATGCGTCAAAGAGTTATGCCACAAAAAGCGAACATAACAATAGTCATTCTTAATCTGTTAAAAACAGGGAAAGAAAATTGTACTGAATTTCATGCATCCTCTAGGGGGAGAATGTGATTTAAATTTGGTATACTTACCGAAATTTATACTGAACTACATCTGTGTTTACACCATTGAGTTTGTATATAAAGCATTATACATCTTTTTGAAAAAGGAATACACATTTATTGTGTAGTTATGATTATTTAATAAAATTACGAATACCGACGAGGCCGTATTTAATAGGACCAATATTTCGAATGATAACTTTTACTTATAATTGTCATTATTTTTAAAAAATGCTTATCTCATATTATTATTGTGTTAATATTTTCGCAAATGGTACGAAAAGTAGAGTATTTTCCTCGGTGACAAAGCTGTCTTAGTCTTGGGTGAACTTAAATCCCACGCTATACTCAGGACTCTTCTTACGCTACGCTCGAGAGTAAACCTCGAGTCCTTCGTTAGGCCGTATACAGAAAGAAAGCCGAAAGCCTATCGGCGCCTATTGACGCTGATCCTTTTTCTATGGACCGGCGCCGACACGCGCTGGTCCGAATAATAAATAATTTGTATTTGAATTATTATCCTTAGATTAAATCAATCTAAGTTATAATCTTTTTATAAATCTAATAACTTTATCTTTTATTAACTAAGCGCTAAAATTATTTGTTTCGTACTTACCGAATGGTGACAACAAGTCTTTGTTCTGGAAGGATTGGTTGTTTATGCCAATTGCCCCAATTTTTCATCAAACGGTTTTTCACTAAATCCAAAATGTAATAAAATGTTTCTTGAATCATTCTTGTATATGTATAAAATCTTTGTTCATCAAATTTATTTTTTTTTACAAATAAATGATGGTATTCTCCGAAACGTTTCCTTTCTCTATTTATAGGATGTGTAGCTGTTTTTCGCATTTTTAAATAAATATTTTCTAACAAAACCAAATCATCGTCCGATGAGTCCGACATTTTGCTTGGTCTGCTTTAATCGGCTTCCCTTATGTAGGAAGGATCGGCGCCGATAAGCGCCGATCGGCTTTCTTTCTGTATACGGCCTTACGCTCGCGATTTAAATCGTCACCCGCGACAGAAGACACTGCTTTATGTACTATTTCCTGTTGAAACAAAGTGCAGGTACACCTTTGCTTGATAGCAAGCTTTTTGTATACACATTAAATATTATTCCAAATCATAATTTAGTAATGACGTTTTATAAGTAATGAAGCTCAATTTATCGTTTTGATAATTTCGTATTGACTTTAGAGTTAATACGTTATCTTATCTTTATATATATAATTCTTCTGTGAGTGTGTATGTCACTGAACTTCTCTTAAACGACTGGACCGATTTTGATGAATTTTTTTGTGTGTGGATCTGAGAATGGTTTAGATTCACAATTTTGTCCGCTGGACAACCCCTATTTTTTTAGGGAGGTACGAAGTTCGCTGGGTCAGCTAGTATGCATATAAAATTCTCGTGTCACAATGTTAGTTACCATACTCCTCCGTAAAGGCCTGACCGATTTTTATGAAATTTTATATGCATATTCCGTGGGTCTGAGAATCGGCTACTATCTATTTTTCATATCCTTAGGTGATAATGGTTGTCCACCTGTAACGTAGTGTTCTGAAACCTACAATGCGCCTTCGCGCCAAAATTCAAACTATTGGGGTATTGTAACGTAGTGTTCTCATATGGGTTAGGACGTATGTTATCCCAGGAAATTGATAGAACACTACGTTACACACCGCTATTTTTTTTTTGACAATATTTATGTTTTTATAATGTGGTATTTAACAATACATACAACCCTAAATTTTCTCTTCTACCACCTGCCCCTATTTTTATGGCGGTACGAAGTTCGCCGGGTCAGTTAGTATTATATGTTTTTCTTTTTTTTAGATAAAACTGTATTACGTACAGCTGGAGGGACTAGCCATAGGTTACAATGAAGCCACCACCAATCCGTATGAACTTCTCACCGTGCGCGATATTATGTGGGTACATTATATTATAGTTATTATTGAAGTTATACTTCTTTAGGCGCGTTATGAAAAAATTATGAGAGTGAAATTTTAAAATGCGCGCGCATCACTGTAACACAAAAGTAACATAATGAAGTTAGCCGCGGGCGCGTTATGAAAAAATGATGAGAGTGAAATTTCGAGATGCGGGCGCATCACTGTAACACAGTAGTAACACCATGAAGTTGGCCGCGGGCGCGTTATGAATTAACCACTTAGTGGTTAATAATCCACCATTATTAGACATCTGTTCGAAAGGTACTTTGAACGATCCACGGAGCTCCATAAGATGATCGCGTTGTCAAAAACAATGTTGGCACGCTCGTCGCCTCTGATCCTGTTTTCATATTTATAATATTTATCCACATGTTTCTAGTTTCTATATAGACACAACGTGTTTTAGTTACTTACAAGTGCTAATTACATATGGACTAATAACTTTAATTCAATAGTGATTTTAATTGAATATTTTGAATATTTATTTAATTTTTCAAATTAAAACTGAACTTAATTGACTGTGTTAACTATCCTTTTCCAGTCCTTTTATTATTTTATTGTAATTATTAAAAATATTTTTAATGATGCTAAAGAAGTATAACTTCTCACGCGCGTACATAAGTTACACGCATCCATTTTTTTTAAGCATGTAACTTCCACGCGGACCAGGCAACAGACGGGACTTGAACCCGCACCATTCGCTATCCGGGCGATTGCACTGAACATTATGCTATTTTCTCTAACCTTAGGCTGCAAGGCAGCGCCAACTCTTCGCATTGTTGGTAACCCACAATGTCAAAAGGTATCCTTTACAAGTATTAAACATTTGAAACAAGAAACAGCAATTATAGTTATGGATTACCTATAATGCGAAGAGATGGCGCTGCCTTGTAGCTTAAGAATGGCTAGAAGAATTTCGACGCGGTCCGTGAGGGCCGCGGTAGCATAATTGGTCAGTGCATTCGCCCGGATTGCGAAGGGTGCGGGTTCGAGTCCCGTCTGCTGCCTGGTCCGCGTGGAATTTTTTCTAGTTATATTTTCTTTAGATTTATACATCAAGCAGTTGCATGCTTTAAAATAATAAAAAATATAATTATAGTTATGTTTGTTTTTCTAATACCTGCAAAGGTATTCATTTGACATTAGGGGTTACCTACAATGCGAAGAGATTTCGCTGCCTTGCAGCCTAAGGCTAAAGAGAGTTCGACACGGCCGTCAGGGCCGCGGTAGCATAATGGTCAGTGCATTCGCCCGGATAGCGAAGGGTTCGGATTCGAGTCCCGTCTGCTGTCCGGCTCGCATGGACTTTTTTCTAGAATATTTTCTTTGCTATTGTTACGTGTCGGGATGGGGTTCGAAATTATATGCCAGTTCACGCTTGACAGTTCTTTATTCACCACACAGTTCACACAATTAACACACAATGTTAATTACAAAACACTCACTAAACACTGTATTTCACTATACAAGTCTCTAAACAATCTCACTTGAACACTTTTGTTGCACTTTGATCGCCTTTGGATTCGCTCCGAAATCGCTGTTGAAACTCAACTGTCTCTGCGCGGCGCCAATCGCGCTTATATACGCCGATCGACGCATTTTAGAAAGTACCTGTTAAATTGAGAATTACCTAGCACCCGCGAGTACGAAGTACCTACTTATACCTACGCAGGTAACGCGCATAACTTGTAAACGAGTGCAGATGTCGTTGCACTTTCTCTCTTACGCCGCACTGCATAGGGCTCATTTTAGAATGAGCCGCATTACTCGACCTCTATCGCGACCCGCGGTGATCTGGCAAATTCGATCTCTAGCAGTTTCGCAGTTACGTTTCGAGAGCGTTTGTGACACTATTTATATTATAGTCTGTTCATAGAAAGAAATTATCTTATTGACAGATCGATCGAAGTAAAAATAGTGACACCCTATCACATAACTCGTTCGATTTAAAGCTTTAATCGATTTAATGCTAGAACATTGTTTAATCGATTATAAGTATCGAATATATTTTAGTTATCAAAAATACTGGTGTTTAATAAATTATTACATAATCACATTAGATTTATTATTTTACCTAGTACAAATATTTGTGTGATGAACACGACTATTTGTTCTGTGTCTGGGTGTGATTTATCTACATTATGTATATATATTATACAACAAAAAAAGCAGTATACTTTTTACATGTTTGTTTATACTAATACTCCATACAATTAGATTTATTGATTATTTATAATTAATAATTTCATTTAAAAAAGGTTTATAAAAAAACCATATCTTTGTCTTTTTTCTTTACAATTTGGTTGTACTCATTTATTTCTACCGATTATTTGTAATCTGTGGCACAATCTTAATAATCATTATGTGTGGCACATCACTAAGTAGGCGGTACCCGTCCATGAAGTATAGGGCTGCCATCTCTAAAATGTGGCAACCAGGATAAGACGCGTGATAACACCGGATTTGGGAGCCCAGAACCCGGACAGATCAATAAAAAACAGTTAAAAATATTACAAATCAACTTTTTTATGATGATCTAGGCAAAAGAGCTAGCGGTCTACCTCATAATAAGTGGTCACTGCTGCCCATGGACACTTGCAGCACCAAGGGCCATTCATGCGTTGTCGTAAATTTTTAAACCCGGACTACAAATAAAACCCCGCCCGGACACTCCCCGGACGCCCCGTAAACTAGGACAAATCCGGGAAAACCCGGACGGATGGCAGCCCTAATGAAGTACAATGTTATTTGTATGACATTTTAACGTAAACAATACAAAATTTTATAGGAGTCGATCTGTCAAAAAGATAATAATAGAATGGACAGAGTATAATGGGCTGTCGTCTGTGTCGGTAGTTGGCTCAACATGCTGGGTGATTTGGACGAGCTATCGTTCGCGCTGTCAGCGCCCCCTGAGTTCCCTGAAGGGCTGATGTTCGGCGAGCACTGCTCGGGGCTGGTGAAGCTGCTGCCTCACTTCAGGGACCTTTATGTCTCCCAGGTCACGTGGAACAGGTATGCTTTCATCATTTATTTGATCTACACTCATGCTTTATCGACGACCTCCGTGGCCGAGTGGTTTATACGCCGGGTTTCAAGGTGTGGCCATCTCGAGAGGTCCCGGGTTCGAATCCCGGTGGGGGCAGATGTTTGTGTGATGAATACGAGCATTTGTACTCCAGTCATGGATGTTAATATGTATTTCTATATAAATATACTTATATATGTATCAATTTATGTATTCTATCCGTTACCCTAGTATCCCATAACACAAGCCTACAGTGCTTACTTTGGGGCTAGGCTAATTGGTGTGAGTGTTGGAAATATTTATTATTTATTTATTTATTATTATGACCGCTATTTATCATCCACCTATTAATGTCCCGACTGCTGTGGCACAGGCCTTCCCTATGGAAGGTATAGAATAGTATTATAGAGAGACTAGCTGACCCAGCGAACTTCGTAGCGCCATAAAAAAAATAGGGGTTGTTGGTAGAAAGTTGAAAATTTAGGGATGTATCATAAAAAAATTAAAAAAAAATTTAGGGGTTTAGAGGGAGACATTTAGGGGGATGAAAAATAGATTACATCCGATTCTCAGACCTACTGAATATGCATATAAAATTTCACGAAAATCGGTCGAGCCGTTTCGGAGGAGTTCAACCACAAACACCGCGACACGAGAATTTTATATATTAGAAGATTGGGCCATGACTCACTACGCGGGCCCAGTGCGGATGGGCGGGTGCTACCGACTGCAGATGCAGCCGGGACCAACGGCTTAATGTAACCTGCCAAAGCACGGAGGAACTCGAGATGGAAGATTTTTGGTCACCCATCCAATGACCGACCACTGCGAAAGTTGCTTAACTTAACGATAGCAGCCGAACGCGCTAGCCACCTGCCTCATCGAGCTCCTCATGTTATGACCGCTATTAAAGATTCTGAAAGCTTATTGCCAACATTAAACCATCCAATGTCATAATTGAAAAAAACTGTAGTTTTTTTTGAGGTGATAACTTCTTATGGGAGGGTATACCGCTTCGTTACGTAACGCGTTACGGCGCCAGTCTGTCTGGCTTCCCTTCGCCGCAAACCTTTTCACCCTCCAATCCCCCTATTCACCCTCGAATCCCCTTTTCACCATATTTTATTTTATACTAGAGGCCCACCCTCGCTTCGCTTCGGTGTAGATTTGAAGTGTAGACTACAGTTTTTGTTCTCAGACTTGTATTATACACAATGCCATTCATCTATGATTCTTCTTATACCTGCATGCAAAGTCTCAGCCCGATCGGTTAAAAATTGACAAAGTTTCATACAAACTTTCATTCCCTATTTTATCCCCTTGGGGGTAGAATTGATCAAAATCCTTTCTTAGCGGATGCCTACGTCATAACATCTACCTGCATGCCAAATTTCAGCCCGATCCGTCCAGTGGTTTGGGCTGTGCATCGATAGATTACTATGTCAGTCAGTCAGTCAGTCACCTTTGAGTTTTATATATATAGATTACGGATTTATCTGTGTCATATATAATTATATGCCCAAGAATGAAATCTATGGTCTTCCCGAAGCGAAGAAAGGGCAGGTCACTATTTTATCATCATTAAATTTTATTGTTATTACAGTTACCAGTCGATGCTGCGCTTCCAGAAGATGTACGTACTGAAATATCACATGTACCCGGGCAGCAAAGACATCATACCCGGGTACAAGATGTCGTTCTCCTCATACCCGGGCTTCGTGCAGGTCATTATTATATAGTTATGTATTCTGAAAATGTACGTACTGCAGTATCAAATGTACCCGGGCATCGAGGACATCATACCCGGGTATAAGATGTCGCTGCCTTCATACCCGGGTTTCGTACAGGTCTTTATTAATAGTTATGTATTATGAAGATGTACGTACTGCAGTATCACATGTACCCAGGCAGCAAAGACATCATACCCGGGTACAAGATGTCGTTCTCGTCATACCCGGGCTTCGTGCAGGTCATTATTATATAATTATATATTCTGAAGATGCACGTACTGCAGTATCACAATTATCCGGGCAGCGAGGTCATCATACCCGGGTACAAGATGTCTCTGTCTACATACCCGGGTTTCGTACAGGTCATTATTATATAGTTATGTATCCTGAAGATTAACGTACTACAGTATCACATGTACCCGGGCAGCGAGGACATCATACCCGGATACAAGATGTCGCTGTCTACATACCCGGGTTTCGTACAGGTCATTATTATATAGTTATATATTCTGAAAAAGATACTTTTTTTTCATGATTTTTGGTAGTTTAAGAGCGTGTAGAGTTTTTAATTTTAGCCAGAAGCTATGGAAACTGCTTTTTGTATTTGTAAATTGAAGTTGAATGTTTGAGTAAATCCTACTAAAAACTAAAGTTCCAATTTTCAAGCCTTTTTTGATTAACGTTAAGTAATTCCAGGAAGCTGAGATATTTTTTGTTTTTATTAAAACTACATTCAAGACAATTATTTCACAAAAAAAAGACTGCAAAATGCCTACTACGAAAAAAGATATGAAGCTTTGAAACCTCTCTGGCAGAAATCATTAAATATACCCAAAAAAATATAACTCGAAAACTAAGAAAAATCGCGGAACATACATGGGGTATTTTCGGATACCTCCAGGTGCGAAGAATCTAAAAAAAAGTTGACGTCACTAATTGGACCACCCTGTATATTAGAGATAGACAAGTATAGTCACGGTAATATTATCTATACAGTATTGTGACTCCGCCCTGTCCTTGAAAATAAATGCCTACGGCCGAGCGCTGCGTTAGCACGCGGTAGGGCCGCCAGCCTACAGTATTTTATGTAGTTTTGTTTTTAACGCGAGTGTAGGTAGATTACTCGTTTGTCTCTTTTTTCATCCTAACCACTTATTTATATATTATTCCAGATATTTTGTCCGATGGAAAAACCGAAATACCTAAATATTAGAAACAAAGAACGTACTAGTAGATAGGTATATAAAAAAAATTCTATAAAGGTAAGACACCTTTCCAATATTTCAGGTAATTTAAAAAATGATATCTCTGGGTGTGTTATTGAGGAGTTCAAGCAACCAAAAACAGCAATTGTGCTGTTGTACGATATTGATCGTCGTTTGTTCTTTTCCATACTAAATTATGTAGGTATCTACATAATTAAATCAAATATTTACAATACAAAACGCATGTTTAAGCACGGCTAACTGCATAAAAAACAATTCAGACCGTTCGGTCATCGTTGCGGCGCGGCGGCGCATTCGCGACTGGGTGCCCGCCGAGAGCCCATCGAACTCGAGTGGCGTAGGTATGACTCGCTTTCCGACCGTTTGTATGAAGATAGAATACTGTATGATATTATTACCGTGGTATAGTATTTGACAAGTAGTACTAGAAGAGTATATTGACAAGTATTTGGTGGCAGTCCACAGACGACTTCTACGTGATATCTTCGGGGCTGGTGGCTGCGGAGACCACCATTGGGAACAGCAACCGGACGCTCTACAAATATGTGAAGCCACTTGGACAGGTGATCATTTATTTATTTATTTTATTTATTCTTAATGCACAAGTGTACAAAGGCGACTTAATACCATAGGCTTGCTCTACCAGTCAACCATAGGGACTGGTAGAGAATTACATAGATGAAAATTACAGAAAGACGAGCAGATATAAATACGAAGAAGTCATATATATATTTACACATACATAAATAAGTGCTTACATATCAACACCAATATATATATACAGGGTGTTACAAAAATACAAATAAAGCTTGAAGGGCGTTGAAGTACATCATATAAGGAGTCTTCTCTAATTTTCTTAAAATATTTGCATGAAGTTTTAACTTTTATAAAAACAGTTATTTTTAATGATTAATAAAAATATCGATCATTTTAAGACACGTCACTAGTTCGAGAATGATTAAAAATAACTGTTTTTATAAAAAGTTAAAACTTCATGCAAATTTTGCTAATGTATCAGTTGTCTTATATTGTTGCCACTTTACCTAAGTTAGGGTCTGGTGTGAATGTCAAATAAAAGCTGTTATATAAATCACTGACTTCTGATTCACTTCACAATGTTCATCTAAATTACTCTGACTCCAAATTATACTGTCTATTATCTAACTGTTATGCGTACTATTACAATGACTTGAGAATGAACCTGACGGGATCGGTGGTAATGTGTGACTGGCTCGCGTCACCGCGGACCGCGCGTCGACGCTTATATCAAGTCAGCATTCTTGGAATCCAGTCGCCACATATATTTATGTTTGTGTGTGGGTACAGTTGTATAGGCTTCATATCAATGTTTACCAACCCCACGTGTATGTGTCAGATAATGGAGTTCGCTCGAGCGATGGTGGCCAATCGTTTAGCTCACGACGGCACCCAGTGGGTGCAGATATTTCGCAAACATAACAGCGGCACCTACAACAACCAGTGGTGAGAATATATCTACCTTTATACTGTACTAGCGGCCCGCCCTCGCTTCGCTTCGGTGGAGAGCTGAAGTGTAGACTACAGTTTTTGTTCTCAGGCTTGTATTATACACAATGACATTCATTTACGATTCTTCTTATACCTGCATGCAAATTCTCAGCCCGATCGGTTTAAAATTGACAAAGTTTCATACAAACTTTCTTTCCCTATTTTATCCTCTTGGAGGTAGAATTGATCAAAATCCTTTCTTAGCGGATGCCTACGTCATAACATCTACCTGCATGCCAAGTTTCAGTCCGATCCGTCCAGTGGTTTGGGCTGTGCGTTGATAGATCACTATGTCAGTAGTCCAGGCAACGAATGCTCAAAAACAGGTATAGAGGGAAATGCTTGGAACACAATTTTTGACTTCGTGACAAATTTTGACAAATTTGACAAAAAAATTTAAAAAATTGACAAATTTTCATACAAACTTTCATAAGTTTGTATGAAAATTTGTCAATTTTAAACCGATCGGGCTGAGATTTTGCATGCAGGTAATAGATGAATGTCATTGTGTATAATACAAGCCTGAGAACAGAAACTGCAGTCTACACTTCAGCTCTACACCGAAGCGAAGCGAGGGCGGGCCGCTAGTTAATAAATAAAAATATAAAAAAAATACATTGTTTTACCTTTAAAAATAAATGATTTAAGTAATTTTAGCTTTTTATATATTAATTTTAGCAATAGATATACAGTTCCCTTCATTTTATTGAAATATGTGCCTATTAAACTAACTCCGACTCGACCCCTTGCAGGTATATAGTGGACTACAAGAAGTTCAAGCCGCGTACTTCTTCCAAGCCGGGTAAAGCCTTACCGGGTCTACTGTGGGTGGTAGAACAACTGCCCGGGTACACTGAGGCCGCCGATCTGTGAGTCTGTCTGTCTGTTGAGATATTTCATTTTATAATATACTAATATCTGATATCGCGCGTTCTATCGTCTGTACCACGGCGAGCGTTCTGAAGAGTTATTCTCTCTTATTCCTGTCAAGGGTCAAGGGTCAGTAAAAGTACTCGGCGAATTGGGATTCGTTGAAATGATAGAACTTCGTACTTGAACTAATGTATTATTAAAATAAACATAACAAATCAAACAGAATCTTGAACTGGTACTGAATCCTTGATCTTATATCTATTCATATAGGAAACTACTTATAGAAAAGTACTGCAGCAATCTATACCGCGATTACAAGGACTTAAGGTGACATCTATTAACCAAATATAGAACTAAAGTTGTTATTATTTGAAACTTAGGAACTTAAACCATAGTGCGAGTAACAATTGCTACAGCGCCATCTTGCTTCTAATAAAAGAGCTATATGAACTTGAACAATTCCACCTTCCCCTTTCCTTCAGAGGACCACGCGCGCTGGCCTACGTTGTCACCGTCTAACTGTGGCTACAATTCCAACGCGTACAAAGAAATTTGGTGACCCATTTCTTTGTCGCACTATCCGTAAATGGAATGCTCTGCCCGCTCACGTGTTCCCTCCCTCTTACATCCTGGGATCCTTTAAAAGAGGCGTGAAGAAGCAACATGCAGGCCGGCAGGGTGAGGATGGCTGGTGTGGCAGGTAGAACTGCTGTATCAGCTATCTTCACGTCTGGACTTCACCTTCATTTAACATCAGGTGGGGTGGAGTCATTTGTCGGATCTATCATATATAAAAAAAATATATCACTTGCTATAGGGATATATATAAGGATGCGATCCGAAAGGGAATAGCGTAGATAATTTAATGAATATATTTGCACCTTAGCTGGGGACTAATCAATTTCAATCTAAATAAAATTGGAAGTCCAAGAAATACTAGATCAATTTCGACAAAGCCATTAAGGTCGCGGTAGTATAATGGATTAGTTGACACTTTTTGGAAATATGTTTGAAATGGTTAATTATTGTTCTATTAGACCGAAAAAAATGTATTTTATTTTTGTTTGATTTATAAAGCTCTGAAACTTTAAGTTCAAAATGGATTTTTTATGGACATACAAAAACGCTGTCGGCCATTTTGGTCTATAGATTTAGTCATCAAAATCAACAAACGGAAGATTTTCTACAAGATATAATTTTTTTTAGATATATTTTAGCCAGACGTAAGAAACCACAGTAACACGACAATGATGTTTAGCGGTTTACAAATTTTATGACGTCATAATCATGGTGGATAGCGGTTTTAGTGTTTAAAGAGTATAGACTAAAAAACTATTTTTCAAATTAAATTACTACAACCATCTCTAATTTTGTGAATTGAAATCGATGTATTTAGGTTCCTCATACAAAAAATTATAAGAAATAAAACAGTTGTTTAGTAAATAAAACTAGTTTTTACGGGTTAATGCACGAAACTTTATTTATTTATTGACGTTTCGTAGCCTTTACAGGCTTTACAGGATTCTGACGACGAAGCCTGTAAAGGCTACGAAACGTCAATAAATAAATAAAGTTTCGTGCGTTAACCCGTAAAAACTAGTTTTATTTAATGAGTGATGTGCGTGAAAACCTAAGAAACAAATTTGTTTAGTAGATACAATTTGACAAGAGTCAACTAGTCTATTGATCAGTACATCCGCCCGGATAACGGAGGTTGCTGGTTCGAGTCTCGTCTGCAGCCTGGTCCGCGTGTTTTTTCTTCTAGTAATTTTTTTTTATTATTCTGGATATTTAATATTTTTTAAAAAATAAAAAATATATGTTGTAATATCAAGATAATAAGAAAATGTTGTCTTGACTTAAAGTATAAAATGTATAGAATGTGCAGCCGTTGGGTTACGTATCTGGCATCGACATACCTGTTTATATCTTTTTTTTTTGTGACGTAGGCAAAATCTCTGGCGGCGTTTTTAATAGGCACACCGACGAACGGACCTCATACTATGCACTTGCAAACGTTAAGGCACGATGGGGCTAACACCCAAAGTTGACGTTTGACGACCTCCGTGGCCGAATGGTTTGTACGCCGGGTTTCATGGTGTCGCCGACTCGAGAGGTCCCGGGTTCGAATCCCGGTGGGGGCAGATGTTTGTGTAATGAATGCGAGCATTTGTACTCCAGTCATGGATGTGTAATATGTATTTCTATATTAATATACTTATATATGTACAGTATATGTATTCTATCCGTTACCCTAGCATCCCATAACACAAGCCTTACAGTGCTTACTTTGGGGCTAGGCTAATTGGTGTTTTTTTTAAAAAAAAAAAAAACTAACCCGCGCCGTTTATGAGCACGTTTAACGACATACAATGCGCTAAAAAACCCTGCGAATACACCCGTATCCCCGTTTTGGGATTCTTCCGCGTTTCTGCACCCAGCAGCCTGGGGCCGTCAAGTATTACGTAAGCTGATTAATTACAATTATTTACCCCCCCCCCCCCTTGTTAGTAAAAGTAAGCAAAGTTCTTACCTCCCCCTCCCGTGTTTACGTAAACATTGGTATTTTATGCATTTTTCCTTTAACGTATTCTGTTTTTTTATTGATTCATGAGCTCTTATGAGCTACATGAGCAGCAGTACTTAAGTAGGTTTAGGATAGAGGACTTTAACGCCCATAGTATTCCTTTAAACAAACTTGATTGACACAGTATTCAGCATAGGGTAAGGTACAAATATTACAACCTTATCAAGTACTATTACGAACGAAGCAAACTTCTTTCGAATTTTTGGTATATGTATACCAATTAACAGTCTTCAGTCCATGACACCCGAATCCATGATGCTGACGTAATCACTATACCCCCCCCCCCCCATGTCATCAAAAATAAGCATAGCAAAGACCCCTCTGCCCCCCTAGAGTGCTGAAGAAAGAAGAAGTGTGAAGAAAGAAGACCCGAGGCGAAGAAAGAAGAGAGGACCGTACAATTTGGAGACAGCGGTACCACTCCAGAGTGGGCACGGAACGGCTGGGATGGCGACGAAGGCGTTTCGTATACATCCGCCCCAGAAAGGGGAGAGGGGCCATAGGGACAAGGAGATAGATAAAGAATAATATGTAGAGAGTCAAGAAAATACGCGCGGTGGAGGCCATTCCGCGCGTATCTCCCGCATAACCAAGAAAGTTCGCCAGGCCATGGGTGGTTGGTGGGATTTGGTCCCCCCACGTTTGGGAGGACCCTACCAAGTGCGGCTGCGGTAGCACACAGCCGTGGAGCAAAAAGCTTAAAATGCTCCTCGAAACTCCATCAAGGATCCAACACCAAGCCGAAGTACTTCAGCCTTCCCTCGATGATATACGGACCCCCTCCACCCGGATATGGAGCCCCGGTTGGGTGCTGCGGCGTAGACCATGAAACAACATGGCCCTCGTTTTGTCGAGTGCCACATCCAAGCCTAAGAGACGGATGCGTCGGACGATTAGCGAAGTGCCGACCGACGCCAGACGAACCGCCTCCTCCACCGACTTTGCCTTCGCCGCGACCAACGTGTCGTCGGCGAAGCAGACAACCTCCATATTGGGAAGGAGGCTGCCTCGCAACACCCAGTTGTACCCCAGGTTCTAGACTAGAGAACCCAGTACTGACCCCTGGGGTACCCCTGCGGCCATAGCCCGAGAGCACACGCTGCCATCGGACCCCTCGTAAGACCCCTGCAAGGAATCCTCCACGATGGAGGCACGCATTGAAATGGCAGTACCTCCATAATACTCTCGTGGTGGAGACTATTGAAGGCGTTGCAAATGTCCAGCGATACCGTAACAGCAGTCCAAACCTTCAATAGGACCATCGCCTCCATCGTAGACCGGTTTCGCCGGAACCCGAACTGGAAGCCTACTCTATTTTAACGAAAAACGAAATTTCGATCGAAATTTCGCACGTACCCTACTCTGTTTCCTTTTCATTTCGAAAATTCGTTCGTCCGAAATATTTTGACAATTAAATTCTCCAAGCCTACTCTAATTCACAAAACTTTCAAAGGAAAAGTTGAATTTGACAGATAATTGTTCGAAATTTTAACCTCAAATCGACGAAATGAAAAGTGTTACCTTTTCATTTTCGTTTTGAGATTTTTGTTTTAATTAAGCCTAAAATACTTGCAAGAGTATTTTTAATAATAGCTGCTTAGCTCGAGTAACATTTTTAGCATGTAAAATTAACAAATAAACCATTTTTTTATTATTTTTTGTAATTTCGATACTTCAAAGTATTAAACGACAAATTCAGGTTGACATACAGTAGATTGTATCGACTCTACAAATTAGTCGGCTAACACTGTCAAAGAAGGTTCTTTTAATGTCATCAAAAAATTTGCCGTAAACTACCTATATTCTTTCCAAGTAAAAAAAAACGTTTTCTTAAAAATAGACATAAAAAGAACTCACAATCATGACTCATTGCATTCGTTCACGAAAATTGTTTATGGTTCCGAAGTTAATGTGCCTGTTCGAAAATGAAATAGAGTAGAGACACTGGTGAAATTTCGTTTGAAATTCGTTCGTTACCGAAATTTCGTTTCGGAGAAAGAGAGTAGAGCTCCTGGTGCTTTGCCAGATTCGGCCCCTCCAGGTGCTCGATGATATGCCCCACCAGGATTCTTTGGAAAAACTTCCCGGCGTCGTCAAGCACCATACCTGTTTTATCTGGCAACCCACTAGTGCGCCCAGGTAAATATGTAATAGAAAACCCAACGACTGCACATTTTGTACGTTTTATACTGTAAATCAGGGCAACATTTTCTTATTATCTAGATGTTGCAACATTTAATTAAAAATAGTCTGTCCAAGATTGTTTTAGGCAACCCATTTTTAATATGTTTTCTAATATACTAACTTCATAGTTTATCGACATTCTTCTAGCCATTCTTAAGCTGCAAGGCAGCGCCATCTCTTCGCATTATAGGTAACCCACAATGTCAAATGAATACTTTTACAATTAAACATTTGAAAGAAGAAACAGCAATTACAGTTAATTAGCTAGAAGAATTTCGACGAACTATAATTGCTGTTTCTTCTTTCAAATGTTTAATACTTGTAAAAGTATTCATTTGACATTGTGGGTTACCTACAATGCGAAGAGATGGCGCTGCCTTGCAGCTTAAGAATGTCTAGAAGAATTACTGAGTTCATGATAAAATATGTTTCATTCTATTATCAGCTCGGTGATGTAGGTTCGGATATAAGACTAATAATAATAAGTAATAATAAATAAATAAATATTTCCAACACTCACACCAATTAGCCTAGCCCCAAAGTAAGCACTATAAGGCTTGTGTTATGGGATGCTAGGGTAACGGATAGAATACATATACTATACATATATAAGTATATTTATATAGAAATACATGTTTAAACATCCATGACTGGAGTACAAATGCTCGTATTCATCACACAAACATCTGCCCCCACCGGGATTCGAACCCGGGACCTCTCGAGTCGGCGACGCCATGAAACCCGGCGTATAAACCACTCGGCCACGGAGGTCGTCAATAATGATTGTATTGTGTCCAAGAACTTCGGCATTGGTCAGCACTTCATACTTCCCGTCGTACAACATCGCTTATTTCCCGCGCGTGTTCAACATGAGCGGGGGGAATGTGAGGGTGAAGACCTACGGCGACTGGTTCGGATACCACACCAACCCAAGAGCCAAGATATTCAAACAGAAACAGGTAATAATAATAATCCTTACTAATATTATAAAGGCGAAAGTTTGTTTGGATGGATGTATGGATGGATGTTTGTTCCTCTTTCACGCAAAAACTACTAAACGGATTTTAATGAAACTTTACAGTAATGTAGCTTATAGATCAGAATAACACATAGGCTACTTTTATCCCGAAAAAAATGTTAGGTTCCAGAGGGATTTCCAAGAAACTTAGTTAACGCAGACGAAGTCGCGGGCGACCTCTAGTAATAATAATAATAATAAATATTTCCAACACTCACACCAATTAGCCTAGCCCCAAAGTAAGCACTGTAGGCTTGTGTTATGAGATGCTAGGGTAACGGATAGAATACATAAATTGATACATATATAAGTATATTTATATAGAAATACATATTAAACATCCATGACTGGAGTACAAATGCTCGTATTCATCACACAAACATCTGCCCCCACCGGGATTCGAACCCGGGACCTCTCGAGATGGCCACACCTTGAAACCCGGCGTATAAACCACTCGGCCACGGAGGTCGTCAAATATCATCATCGTCATCATCAGCCTATTTGTGCCGGATAGCGACCACCGGTACTTGGTTTCCGTAAAGTCGCAGTCTTTTCACTCACAAACTGCTATTTTAATTTTATGGTCGGTTATGATGATATATTGTTTTAAACTTTCATGGTCACTAACATTATAGTAATATAAGTTATTTACGGGATTGTTACCATGTACCTTATGATGATGATCATGGCGCTTGCAACAGTGCCGAAATATCGGAAACTAGAGTGAGAGTGTGCTTCGGAGTTACATAACTTAATTCCACCTTCACCTTTTTACCACAGAACCACCAGAGAGACGGCAAAACGCCACAGATATACCGTGGAGGTCCCACAAACTCGTACTAAACGGTTTGCTTCCACCTATATAGTTAGAACAGCTAGGTTGTGGAACTCTTTGCCGGAATCTCTGTTTCCAGTCACCTATAATCTGGGGCTCTTCAAGTCGCGAGTCAATCGGTTTCTTCTAGGCAAGCGCGTCCCACCTTAGGCTGCTACGTCGCTTTCCATCAGTTGCGTGGCCGTCAAGCGTAAGCCTATTTATTGTAAAAAAAAAAAAAAAAAAAAAAAAACGCTAAAAACAAGGTACATGGTAACAATCCCGTAAATAACTTATATTACTATAAGGTTATGATGATGGCTGGGTTCTGGTATCCCCCGCTGCCTTCTGGACTTGGGATTCTTTGTTTGGTTTCTCAAAGGTATAATAAATACCTTTGTGTATGTGGGTTACCTACAATGCGAAGAGATGGCGCTGCCTTGCAGCTTAAGGCTAGGAAAATTTCGATGCGGCTAATAGGGCCGTGGTAGCATAATGGTCAGTGCATTCGCCCGGATAGCGAAGGATGCGGGTTCGAGTCCCGTCCGCTGCCTGGTCCGCGTGGATTTTTTCTAGTAAACTTTTCTTTAGATTTAAACATCTAGCAGTTAAAAGCTTAAAAAATAAATAAAATCATAAGTACAATAAAAAGTTTTGTGTATTACGTTCAATATACTATTGTACCTTACTAATAATTTTGTCAATGCAGTCTGCAGTATAATTAAAGCACTTCTTAGATTACATGTAATTTTTTTCTCTCTGACAATGCATTTTTCAAATTTGGAGTAGGTATTCAATTTTCCATTGAGATATGCAATACACGTATGGTTTCAAACTCAACTCAAACTCATTTATTTATTCAGTCTAGGCTGTTACAAGCTCTTGTGAAACGCTACGCCATCGGTTCGTAAATCTACGGCGGGAGACCTTGTACTGAGAAGAACCGGCAAGAAACTCAGCAAGGGCTATTTTTTTCCTCCCTGTTTTGTTTCATACAGTGTCGTCAATTGAAAGATGACATCAAAAATTGAAAACATGTGTTGATGTCAACTTCCATCACATTAATATTATTAATTAACAAAAGTTAAGTATAGCTAGGTACTACATTTAAATTTAGAAGTGGCGGTTAAGCAATTTTCAACCAAATCAGCAAAGTAAAACGACTTAGTCTGTTATATTAAGCCCAAGGTGACTTATCATTTATGAAATCTTAAATTTTATATATGATATGAGTTTATGTATGATAGTCTGGGCCTGATGACCTGTTAGTACAGGTAGCTATTCGTAGTTGCCTTTTACGGGCACCAGTCTCTCACATAATAGGTTTATGTATTTGTGTTGATTAAATTAGTTATCTATTGTACTGTTACACCTTTTGTGAGGAGAAAATAAATGGTATATTATTATTATTAGGTACAGAGTTTGAGACTAAGGTCCGTATTACAGAATCACAACTAAGTGTTGATCTTTACTTGAGTACAGTTAGAAAGGGATGGCGCTATCTTATATATAGCGACATCCCTTTCCATCTGTGCTCAAGACTAGATCAATTACTGAGAATCTTTCTATAATACGCGCCTAAGATTTTGAATGTTTAAATAAAATATGTGATACCTATTTTATTTAAACATCCAAATAGCATGTATTTATATATGTCTCTATGTTAATTTGTATATATATAAGGCTTGCTGAAAAAATGTCGATGAATCGATATATCGATATTTTTTACCGATATATTTTGATTCGATATATCGATCCATCGATACAAAATAACCAATATCGAAATTCGTATAAAAAACGATATTTTTTTAATTATTAGCGGCATATCACGATCTAACTAAATTCGTATCTGGAAAAATCGTAACTGGATCTCAGATTAATGATATTCAACATATCTATGATCTGTGCTGTATTTAGTATTGTCTATGGGTACGGCCAGAGTGCAATCAGAACAAGCGCGGGGAATATACAGTGTAGTTTAAGCAGGTTGCCTGCTGCCACTATGGCCACCCTGCTTTAACTACACTGTTTATTTCTCGTGCTTGTTTTCTGAATCTGAATCTGAGTGCACTCTGGCCGTACCCTATTATTTGTAAATCTGTTTCGCTGGTGAATTGGTTGCGCTGAATTCCATTATATTCTGTGGAAGTGTGACTGTCTAGTCTTGTTTACGAAAGATGGCACCTGAGAGGCCCTGCAATCATTTTCATCATTCGAAAATGGGGTCTATTTTTAGGGAGATAATTTTCGTTTCATTATTATTCCACGTGTCATATTTCGTGAGATACTGTACTGTCATGTAGTGTATCGGCAATTTGGTACTTTTATAATTCTTTCTTTAATTATAATTCGTATTGTTATTATTACTGTGCTAGGCTGACCTAAATATATTTTTGGGAAAATTGGTCCGATATATCGATGTTTTTTTCGCGATATATTGAAGCCGATATTGATATTTTTTAAAATATCGATGCATCGATATATCGATTTTTTTTTCAACTTTCGACATCTCTAATATATATTCGTATTTAGCTTTATACCGCCGTTCGTGTTTTTAATTTTTCCCAAAGGTTGACTGTGAGAGAATGCTTTTAGCATTAAGTCCGCCTTTTGCACCATAATTATATATATACTTTGGTCAATAAAGTTTGAAAATAAATAAATAACTTTAAAATTCTTAAAGCGTGTAATATTGTGTTCAATAAATTGCAGTTACAAAATTCGAGGGAGAGGGGTTGGGGACAATGTTTTGCGACCAATGGCAGCGTCGATTTGAATATCGTGTCATGTAGCACCGTACGGATTGGTGATCGAGTAGAACCTTAACTTGGTGGTGGCATTTGCGTTCCACTATTATTGTTATAATTTTTATTTTTTAAGCATGTAACTACTTGATGTTTAAATCTAAAGAAAATATAACTAGAAAAAATTGTGGGTTACCTACAATGCGAAGAAATAGCGCTGCCTTGCAGATTAAGAATGGCTAGAAGAATTTCGACGCGGTCGCGCGAATGATGCGGGTTCGAGTCCCGACTGCTGCCTGGTTCGCCTGGTTTTTTTTTTGTAAACTTTTCTTTAGATTTAATCATCTAGCAGTTAATTGATTAAAAAATAAAAACACAACTAAAATATATTTCACTTATGTGACCAGGCCGGTATCAATAACCTCCGCGATATGTACGAGGTGATGCGCTACAATGACTACAAACACGACCCTTTATCGCGCTGCGACGCTTGCAATCCTCCATATAGTGCTTGCAACGCTATCTCCGCGAGAAACGACCTCAACCCGCCCAATGGTGAGTATACACCACAGAACAGAGAGGTTACAAGTGTGATCATAGACCGTTTGTACGGCAACCGATGTCGCCGGCTCGCCCCCACTACACTTCCACCTAATACATAATAGCCAATCGAATGACGCGACATCAAACAATGGAACCAATTGGCGCTCACACCCAAGAGCGACGATGCAATCAGAACCAAGTTTTGGAGAAGTTATGAACATTGAAAAGCTCGATGGCGCCAGTGGCTAGCGCGTTCGGCTGCGGTCGTTGAAGTTGAGCAACTTTCGCAGTGGTTAGTTATTGGATGGGTGACCAAAAATTTACCATCTCAAGCTCCACCGTGCTTCGGAAGGAACGTTAAGCCGTTGGTCCCGGCTGCATCTGCAGTCTTTAGCACCCGCCAATCCGCACTGGGCCCACGTGGTGGGTCATGGCCCAATCTCCCTAACCCGTCCATAGGGAAGGCCTGTGCTCCAGCAGTGGGGACATTAATAGGCTGATAATGTTGAAATGAATGAATGAATGACGAATATGAACATTTATTTGCTCACACGAGAGCCTTGTTACCTGTTTCTGTGTTCTGTCGTATACACTACACTAAACTACACTCTTCTCTCCAAAAAAAGGGTGGATTACCCTTAACATTTAGGGGGTTGAAAAATAGATGTCGTCCGATTCTCAAACCTACTGAATATGCATATAAAATTTCACGAAAATCGGTCGAGCCGTTTCGGAGAAGTTCTATCACTCACACCGTGACACGAGATATTTATATATTAAATTATTATTATGATTAATGTGGTAATATTTATGTAATTAAATATTTAATGTGATGATTACGAATTTACGGTCTTTATTTGGTCGAAATAAATTAATTTGAATTGAATTGAAATCAATATAAAAAAATGTCGGTTAAGGCTTATCGGTGATATTAATATTTATTTATTATATAGGCACGTATCCATTCCGAGCGTTGGGTCACCGCAGCCACGGCGCCACAGACGTCAAGATTACCAGCGCCCTCCTGCACCGCGCGCACCAGTTCATCGCACAAGCCAGCCCCACCTACAACCTGTCCCGAGGGATCCCGCCCTTCACGTAACCAATACAATATTCTACACCACACTAAACTAAACTATAACACACCACAATACTTTACATTACACCACACTACACTATACTGCACCACAATACATTATATTAACACCACACTACACTATACAGCACCACAACACATTATATTACACCACACTACACTATACTGCATCACAATACATTATATTACACCACACTACACTATACTGCATCACAATACATTATATTACACCACACTACACTATACTGCACCACAATACATTATATTACACCACACTACACTTCGTAGACTTTCTAACCATATAGATACAATTTTTTTCTAGTAAAACTTTTCTTTAGATTTAAACATCTAGCAGTTAAATGCTTCAAAAAAAACATAAACATATAGATACAAGTTAGCACAGCAGTTATTGCATCCGCCTGGGTTACGGAAGGCGTTTATTGGAATCCAACCTGACACCTTTTTTGAGTCTAAAATTGTAAGACTAAATTAAATAAAGCAATTCATTGCTTTACATAATAATATAATTAAAAACTCGAATGTTTGATATTTAACAGTAAAAGTAATATCCATTTAACATTTTAGTCGCCTGCAATGTGAAAAAATGGCGCTCCCTTTCAATTATTGAAATTAAATTTTAAGTATTTCAAAGTAATACTAGAAGAAATCCGACACTTTCAATAAGGTCTCGATAGCATAGCTATCAGTGCAGAATAGTCTACTGTCTAGGGCACTGGTTCACATCCAGTCTGACATAACTGAGCTAGGCGGATAGCCGAGTATAAAATGAAACCAAATAGTAGACTTTTATCACTGACATATTATATATCAATAAACATTATAAAACTGTAATGTACAAATTGGCTTTTCTTCTGGCAGGTGGAGTGAATTCGATATGGGTCCACAGTTGAACCACATTGGTCACCCGGACCGCTGGATGTTCCCGCCCATCCTCCACCGCTGGGAGTGGGAATAGGTCTATAGCAATAAGGATTGATATTTGAAAGATATTTCGTTTTTTAATTTGTTGTTATTATATAAAGAAAAATAATCTGTATATGATAAAATTATTGTATCAACATTTTTGTATTAAAGAATGCCTGTTTTTGCATTTATTTCGTATATAAGCAATGAACGATTTGAAATTAAAACCTGTATTTTCTATACCAAATAATTATTTAACTAGTAAATAATAAAAATCATTGTAATATGTAGATATAACTGTATTGAAAGCAAGTTATAATTAGTAAACTACAAAGTTTTTACATTTTCTAATTTTATAAATAAATTGCATTTTACATAAGATATGCGTTTTAAATACATTAGTTTCTATTTAACACCAACATTTTATACTATAACTATAAAACACTAAAATTTTCACAATTAAATACATTTCGTACACTACATTCCTCCCTACACGCAAAGAAGTGAGTAACTACATAATGGATTATTATAAATGATGTGAAAGAAGAACTTAAAAATTATAAAATACAAAGTTATAGAATATCCACAAGATTTTATTAAGAATATATTAAAATTTATTATTACTTGAGAATGCCACTCCTGTGATAAAGGTTTTCTCAGACATTAAACAACATACAATCAAATTATTTTAAAAGAAATATCAATGGAGCTACTATGCAACTTTTATTGTAAACTTACTGGAACTATTTATTACATAATTATCATCAACCGTTCCAACATTAATGTGAAATTGTTTTAAAAACATTTTTGATAAATAAAGTCTTAAGTTTATTTTAATTTCAATTTAATTCATTGATAAAAATAATACAAGGTTAGTCCAGTACAGACTAGCCACTATTTAGAAATTAACAAAACAGGGTTTGTTGCATGGACTAAGCTTTTCTTCATAAAAGTATGACTCCCTGAATAGTTACCATTATATATTAATTTATTTTACCACCAATATCAAATTCATAAATTCTTCTAAATGTACATACCTCTCTAATAGAAACCAAATTTTATATATTTTTACGTAGGTTCATAATAAATATCAAGATATCATAACACCCTATTGTCACCTTTTGTATTATGACTAAAAACAGCTAAATATAACATTAGCTCTTAAGCCTAGTTTGCTTACACCTTAACGAGGCTGGCTATGGAATGAGTAATTTAGCCAATTTAATATAACATGTGCAATATATTACATTAGAACCATAGAAACATCAATAGTATGTTCATTCCAGCGAGTTGAGCATGAGTAGCTGCTTTAAAACTTTGGTTTGAGACGTCTCTCTGATCTCCCCTGCTAGGAACATCTCATCCACAACAGTGTATACCTGAAACATTTTGAATTAACAGTCAGTTAAATAATGTTAACAACACAATTGAAGAGCCTATGTAATTGCAAGAAAATGCTTGTAAAAATCTAGAAAACATTAAAAAAAAATTCAAAATTCAATATCGTTTATTCAGTCTAGGCTGTTACAAGCACTTGTGAATGTCGAAAAGCTACGCCATCGGTTCGCAAATCTACGGCGGGAGACCTTGTACTGAGAAAAACCGGCAAGAAACTCAGTAAGGGCTGTTTTTTTCTCCCTGTATTGTATACAGAGTCGTCAAATTGAAAAATGACTTTAATATGAGGTAACTCATAAAGTCACTTTCCATTACAAATGCTAATATAATAAAAATTATGACTATATAAAAAACTAGTTTAACAAAGTTTAGGAATGCCGTGTCCTGCTGTTTAGGCAAAAAAAAAATGAATGATTAAAGTTTAGTACAACGGTTAATAGTATCCAATGAAGCAAGAGCAGACTCATCTCAGATGGCAGCACCCGTTCACGAGCATGACGCATGAACCAGCCATCGCTTCGCTCAACCATTTTTTAGGGAACGCAACGACCCGCCTCACACGACACCGACGAAGAGATTTTTAAGAGAGCATGACTACTCATAACCACACATGGATACTATGTTACAAAGATAGAAAAAAAAATATAAGTACCAGAGTACATTATTATAAAAAATTATAAACATAACGGCAGGACACATGCATGTGATTACCCAAACACTGTTGTCGATTCTGGCACTACTCTCCCAACATCAGTCCCCCCTTTTCAGTCTGTATAAAGAATGACAAGGATACACCGCTGCAAAACCAAGTTCAGGTCTAGAAAACCATACCAGAATCCACACCGCCATTAAATCATCACTAATCAATCAATCAATCTAACTACAACCAACTAAAACATACCTTATAGAAATTAAATACAAGATCTAACTCGCAGACATTGTGGAAATATTCATTCAATACTTCTACAAAATTGTGTATTGCCTCCAAATAACACAGGTTGTTATCGTTCACGTCAACGCATATGCAGAAGTATAGACCAGCGTACCTCCGATATACTATTTTGAAATTCCGGAACTGTAACAAGAAATTCATAGTTCACTTATTAAATTACATGTAAGGCAGTGGAAAAGCTAGATCTTAATACAGCCTTAAAGTTATGAACCTAATACCTCAACAAAGTTGGTGTGCTTAGCATCTCTAACGGTAACAACAGCGTGCACTTCCTCTATAAGTTTCTGCTTCTCATCATCATCAAAATTCATATACCATTTCGCCAACCGAGTTTTGCCAGCGCGGTTCTGGATTAATATGAAACGAATCTGTAAAAATTCCAAAATATAGGTTAAGTATGCAATGGTATATCAGCTCAAATTTGGAAAATAATTAAATAGCAAGATATACCATTTTAATTGAAAAATTTATTGAAATTGTGTTGGTTGACGCCTCCTTTTATTTCCGGATTCTAATTTGACATTTAGCCGACAAAACACAAAATTGACGTTGACAGGAAGTGTTGCGATGATCGTCTTTTTGTACCGGTTTAAACTAGGGTTGCAACGATATATCGGAATATCGATAATATCGACAATATCGAGATCAAAATATCGATATTTAAAATTCACTGATATCGATAATATCGATATCGGAAACTCTACGGACTAAATTTAAACACAATAATATCAATTAATTTACCTGCGATGACTATCTAAATTGAATAATATCGAAATAACTATTGCTTTGAAATCGCAAGAGCTTATAGATGTATTAAAAAAATCTTGAACCCCAAGAAATATACTAAACTGGTGTCGATTCTGGCACAATTCTCCTAAACCTAAAATTAAATTTGACAACAGTGTATTCTTGTCATTCTCTATACAGAATAAAAATAAAAATGGGTGCGTGTACTTATGTAGGCGCGTGAGAAGTTATCCTTCTTTGGCATCGTTTAAAATTAGTTTTTAATTGCATGCAAATAATTAATTACAATAAATTAATAAAAAGTCTGGAAAAGGACACAGTCAATAAAGTTCAGTTTTAATTTGAAAAAATAAATAAATAATCAAAATATTCAATTAAAATCACTACTGAATATAATTTATTAGAACATATGTGATTTGCACTTGTATGAAACTCAAACACGTATTCCGAATATAAAAACTAGAAACATGTGGATAAATATTATAAATATGAATACCTATAACTGTTACTTTATTACAAAAAATAAAGATGTGGTTTTTGGTTCTACTACACCAATGGTCAAGAGATGGCGCTGTAGTCTCCTGAATCGCGCTTTGGTTCCGTTGTTCCAGATTGATAAATACTTTTGATAGGCCTTCACAATGCAGTCGTTAGCACCCACAAAATAGAGATTCTGTTTCTATTTTGTTGGTAGATTTTCTTAATGTGCGGTAAACACAAAAGTAACAGGAACAGCATGAAGTTGGTCGCTAAAGCGACCAACTTCATGGTGTTAATTTTTTGTGTTACAGTGATGCGCGCATCTTAAAATTTCACTCTCATCATTTTTTCATAACGCGCCTAAAGAAGTATAACTTCAAAAAGGAGAGACTGATGTTAAATTTAGTTTTAAGTATAGATAATCGTGCCAGAATCGACACCAACATATATATGTATAATCGTAAAGCTAATGGTAACTCATGTATTTAAATAAAATCCTTGCCTCTCTTTCTAGATAATTGTCAACTACTGATTAATTGAAATTTAATATCATTGTAATATAACACAAAATAAAATTAAGAATCTTATACAAATCGTATTTTTTTTAAGCTCGCCAAGTCACGAAAGTAAGTTAGGTACAGTCTGTCTATAAAGTCGTGACATTAAATGATGGCGCCACTAGTATGCATGTAGCAACCCTGTACAGTCTGACCAAAATGATTTTGATACTAGCAATTCCTTCAAGTAAAATAGGTTATTAATAAGACACACTATACAGTCGTATTTTGTTTCTGTTTTATATATAGTAGGTACCTATGCTTATAAAAAATTTAGCCAAGCATATTTAATTGAATCAGAATAAAATTATTATAGATAAAATGGTACTTTATGGTGTAAAAGTGTGTAATGTTGGTGATTACCGCTGAGGTGCCATTGAGACCAGTGCCGTTAGGTAATCATCAATACACACAAGTTTCATCATACGACGTTTTTTAACACACTTGTTAAGTAAATAACACTAAAAATCATTTTATAGTATGTAAAAAGTTTATTTAGAGAAACAATTTGTAAATGTGCAGTTAGTAAAATTAGTGATAGGTATCTTCACTCGAGGAGCTCGATGGCGCAAGTGGTTAGCGCGTACGGCTGCGATCGTTGAACTTGAGCAACTTTCGCAGTGGTCGGTCATTGGATGGGTGACCAAAAATTACTATCTCGAGCTCCTCCGTGCTTCGGAAGGCACGTTAAGCCGTTGGTCCCGGCTGCATCTGCAGTTGTTAGCATCCACCAATCCGCACTGGGCCCGCGTGGTGGGTCATGGCCCAATCTCCCTATTCCATCCATAGGGAAGGCCTGTGCCCCAGCAGTGGGGACATTAATAGGCTGATGATGATCTTCACTAAAAGCATCTGGCCATGGTTCTTTATGTGACCATTTCTTTTTTTGGTCGGCCTTGCCTGTTTTCCCAGGAGTTTCAAACTTTCCATCATTCTTAAAACCTTCGTTGACTATCCGACTCTCTGATTTTCGTGAAAAAAAAAGTAAAAAAATATGTAACGGAATAGAAACAATAACTTAATGACATGAAGCAATTAATTCAAAATTGGTAGAAAACCTGATCGAGTTGAACCATAATAACGTATCAAAAGAAATGGTCGTACTACAAACTACCTATTTACAATGTAAATCTAACCTAAAAATGTGCAATGCAAACAATGCTTTTTTTGGTCTCAAAATCGTAAATTGAGTAAATTTGTAACTTCAGGCAGATTACAAACAAATAGTTACACGATAACATACCCGTTATAGATGCTGTTCGCCCATAAAATCATCCAAATCCCACAACATTCGCCCAGCTTGGTAGTCTTCGAAACATCGCTGGAAAACTTTAAAAATCACTTCCCGCGTACCACTTCGATTTACTTTACTCATTTTTATACCTTTTTGCGTAGTTTCGTCTTAATTTATTACAGTTTAATCCAAACAATAAAAAATACAAAAGGAAAACTGTTTCACAACTGAAACTCGATGACAGCTGATGAATAAGTTTGGTGTTGCGAGACACATGAATAATGTTAGTTCCTCAAACATTAATGTCACGACTTTATAGACAAACTGTATAGTAATTTTGGAAGCTTTGGGCTTACCCTATTCTGAAGCCATGGGCACGCCCCTGATGTGTGGGAGACTAAGCAATTTGCGTATTTGATGTACGCTCAAAAACCGACATAGCTTGGAAAAGCACGAATGTAGTGAAAACTTAGCGAAGGCATTCGCAAATGTCGTCCCACATATGCGGGTTGGCGCATTCGTGCTAACGAATGTGAGTGAGCTGATCAGGATAATAATTTTAATTTTTTGGTTTCCTTTCGTGGCTGAAACATAAACCGTGCGAGCCAATAAAAAAATCCTGCTTGGCGCGATTTCATCAAGCGTGTTTAACGAAAAAGCTGGCTCAATGCATTTTGCGAGAAACTCGCCAACAAACTTATGAATGTGTCTCACTCATCCCGTATTCTAATGTCAATAAAAAAAGAAAAAATATCGATATATCGAGTAAAAATGGTCGTTATATCGGATATCGATATTTTCCTGACTTCGATATAAATATCGATATTTAGAAAGACTTTGCATCCCTAGTTTAAACCTAACATGCATCGGTTGGTCACCTACAAGACAGTGACAGAAATAGCCTCCATAGGAAGCCTTTCACAAAGCCCAAATGCTTAATTCGATTCAGTTACTGTGTGTTGTCTATGGTGCACCTTTTTCTTGTGTGTATCCTACTTTATGTATTTTTGTAATGGCAATGCAAATATCGAATATTGTTTTTTCATTTTCTGTTCAAGCAAGAAGTGTTGTAATCTCTTTGGTGGATTTTTGACGTTGCTTCTACCTAGCTCGTTTTTTATCAAGTTTTCATCAATGTAGTGCTTAAGTTTCCATAATGTTTCTAATTTATGTAGTTCTGTAGGGAATACTAAATAAATTTTAAATGACGCCCACGAAGACCACAAAAACTGAAGTAGAAATGGTGATACGAAACAGAAAAACTGTTATGAAAGACGGGATCATGACAATGTCGGGAATCGGTGAACCTTCCGTTTTTCACGCTCTGATCGTTATCTTTTTGGAGTTTTTCGCATGGGGCCTGCTCACCATGCCGATCATCTCGGTGCTGAACGCAACCTTCCCGGATCATACGTTCCTAATGAACGGGTTGATAATGGGTATCAAGGGCATCCTTTCGTTCCTGTCTGCGCCGCTCATCGGCGCTCTGTCGGACGTGTGGGGACGCAAATTCTTCCTGCTAGTGACCGTGTTCTTCACCTGTGCGCCGATCCCGTTGATGACAATCAACACATGGTGGTTCTTCGCAATGATCAGCATCAGCGGAGTGTTCGCGGTTACGTTCTCGATCGTGTTCGCGTACGTGGCCGACGTGACGACGGAGGCGGAGCGGTCGCGCGCCTACGGCCTGGTGTCGGCCACCTTCGCCGCCAGCATGGTGATCTCGCCGGCGCTCGGCGCCTACTTGATGGATCTGTACGGCGAAGCGCTGGTGGTCGCCGCGGCCACCGCCGTCGCAGTCCTGGACGTGTTCTTCATCATGGTCGCCGTGCCGGAGAGTCTGCCGGAGAAGGTTCGCCCCAGCGGCTGGGGCCCGGCCATAAGCTGGGAGCAGGCGGACCCGTTCGCGGCGCTGAAGAAAGTGGGCGCGGAGCGCACGGTGCTCATGTTGTGCGTGGCGGTGTTTCTATCGTATCTACCCGAGGCCGGGCAGTACTCGTGCATATTCGTGTACTTGAAACTCGTGATGGGCTTCGGCGTAGTGCAAGTGGCGATCTTCATCGCGATAGTGGGAGTGCTCAGCATCGGCGTGCAAGTGGTGCTCGGCTTTCTGATGCGGTCGTTGGGGGCCAAGCACACGATAATGGTGGGACTCCTGTTCGAGATGCTGCAGCTGATGTGGTACGGGTTCGGCAGCCGCACGTGGATGATGTGGGCGGCCGGCGTGCTGGCGGCGCTGGGCTCCGTCACGTACCCGGCCATCAGCGCCTACGTGTCCGTCAACAGTCGCGCCGACAGGCAGGGCGTCGTGCAGGGCATGGTCACCGGCGTGCGCGGACTCTGCAACGGGCTCGGGCCCGCCATGTTCGGGGTCATCTTCTACCTGTTCCACGTGGACCTGAACGAGGAGCACGCGACGCTGGGCGCGGACGGCAAGCCGGCGCAGGAGCGGTACGTGCGCATGGTGCCGGGCCCGCCCTTCGTGCTGGGCGCGCTGCTGGTCATCTGCGCGCTGCTGGTGGCCGCGTTCCTGCCGGAGGACAGCGGGGGCGCGGGCCTGCGTCGCGCGTCGCCGGAGCTCCGGTTCGAGGTGGAGCGCGGCCGACGCGTGGCGGGCCCGCTGTCGCCGCTGATGGGCCCGGAGTCGGCGGCGCTCTAGCCGGCGGGAAAGGCCTGCCGGGCCGCCAGCGTCTGACTCTAGCGCGGCACCCGCTGTCGCCTGACTCCAGTGAGTGAAGTGAGTTCCGTTGCACCGTAATCGCATTCCCGTCTCGTGAACCGTACGCTTCGTTCCGATGTCCGTGTTTTTTGAGCTTTACGACTATTTTTATAGTATACTCGAGTCGCCGACGGGCGTGTGCATACTTTTGTCGAAATGAAATCATCCATAAACCCCTGCGTTCGAAGAGTTTGCAGCCGAACATCATGCTATCGTCTATTTACCATATAGATGTTGTTCATGTTTGTGATACAATGAGTCATATTGTGCACAAATGGAATCATGTGACGTCATACATCTTATCTAATTGGATTGGAATTGATATCCACCTTTCAAATAATAAAATAACATGTTCACTCAGAAATACTGATTACAAATAAATGCATATATTCAAATAAAACAGAGTTCAGAATAGTGACTGAAATAATAATTTGAATTTATTGTTTTAGTTTAATACTTGATTTCAAAATAATATTGATTAAAAACTTAAGCTTTTGCGGCCAAAATTTGTAAAATCTTTGGTAAAATCTCTAAATTTACTTCATATTTACTTTTTAAAACATGCAAGGAATACTAATCTAACTAAGCTATTAACTTTAAAAGTGTTTTCAGTATTATTCAGAGTGCAATACCATGGTGGGGGTTAATCGTGAAATATAACTTTCTTATGTAATTTGTTTTTACCTTATGATTACCGTATTAATAAGTAACTCTATTTAAAAGTTCTGTATTAATCAAATCAAAGTGTACTTCAGCACACTTGGGTCAGTCTTTCAATTTACACCGCTTGCTTTGTGAGTTTTGTCATTTTATCAAAAAGTAATAAATTTATTTGATCATTAATACATGACAGACATGCCAGCTATTTGTGTCAGAAACCGATGAATAAGGAAAACATTGAAACATGTTTTTAGTTTGATTTGAGTATAATGCCGGCCGGACTATTATTTTCTTCAATACATCACTTTTATAACCATTGAGTTATTAGATGTTATAATTGATCAGTAGAAGAAACAGGGCATTGGATTAGTGTGATTGCACATCTATACTATTATTATAAAGCTAAAAGGGTTTAATTGTTTGTTTGTTCGGTTGAACTAACAAATCTCGGGAACCACGGGTTCGATTTTAAAAATTATTTTTGTGTCGGATAGTATATGTATCAAGGGTGACTATAACATAGTTCTACAACTAATAGGAGCAGAGCACAAATGAAAAATGTTGCATAAATGGGAACAAATATTCCATTTGTGAGCCTCCGTTGCATGTGGTGCGTAAACAGTAAAATTTAAACAGAAATCATGTATGACAGATAAGTTCCTCTTTAAAAGTTCTATAATAAAGTCCACAACAGCATAATGTCTATATTTTAAAGGTGACCCAGTATAAACTTTATCCTCAAACGAATGCGGGTGAAACCATAAGGCACCTCTATTTTAATATATTGTTCAAAATGTCACTTGCATTTTTTGTAATTTTAAAATAGAAAGATGTTTCAAGAAATAAAATCAGCATAATATGGGAAGAAACTTGTGTGTGAATCATCTAATTAAATAGTAAAAACAGACCATTAATGTCGAATTAAAGAATTGTATGATATTTTTATATCATCTGTCTACATTTTGAATTCCACGTTTTCAGTATTTAGTGTTATTTTTGGAATTGTGTAAATTTTGTAAAACTTATAAACTATTCATACAATGGCAGACCTAAGTCTTTTTTAAAGTCAATTCATCATCAAATATGATTCTACTATGAAACAAACTGCAAGAAACATAATAATAAATTATGCGGTTTTAGGGCATACATTTTCTCTTGTCAAAAATGCCAAATCCAAATATTCATTAATAAAAAAATCACTTAAGTTTTGCCTCACGACAACGGCTAACTATTGCCGAGGTTCGAATCTCAGAAAAGCCCTCTAGTTGAGCCGCCCCCCTCAGAGAGAGAGGAGACTCCCCCCGCGGGGAGATGCCATCCGCCTGGAGTACCTCTAGAGGCACTCGCCATTTCTCGGCTTGCCTTAGGATCTCGCCGTCCCCAAACCCGGTGACGCTATAAAGGTCATCTGCGACCAACAGCATACACACTCACAAAAAAAACAAAAAACAAGTTTTCCAAGATTCATGTTTAAAGCAGAGTGTGATGTGCGGCGACGTATACCAGAAGAAATGGGGTCAGGGTCTGAAATCGCAGCCCACCATGAGCCATAAATATAATGACAACCACAAACAGGCTCATTATAACACGGAGGGGAGTCTATTCTTAACGAAAGATCGTCCCCATAACTAGCGATTATTTCAAGTTATTTTTACAATTCTGTTACAGTTTCGTTTAATGAATTCACTAGGTATCAATAGCAATTTTAAAAAAATATTCCTTTGGTGCTCCAAGTGCATATTTAATGTAGTCGCAAGATAGAACAGTTTCAGAATTGTCTAGCTTTGTTTATTTGGAAGAAATTGTCATAGTAGGCTTTCGGGTCTGATTCGAAGTGACGTATCACATGAAGGTTAAAACTTTATCTAATTAATTAGGCGAAAACATCTCTTGTTTGCCTTACTATAAAAACAAGTGTGTCGTAAAACTCAAAGTATTCGTCGCGAGAAATTTTCCTCTACGAAAAAGAGGTCCCCGATTTAGAATCAATGATTCATTAAAAAGTTTGTCTCATACGTTATAGATTTGTACAAATCGGTTGCGTTTCACCAATCGTAACAATGATAGCTCAGAACTAAATAGTTCGAACCCTATGAATGGCTGATTCCATGGTAGCATTGCTCGGTTCCCCCTGCCATAAATCTTGGCACATAACTTTCACATTGGTGAAATATAAATTGATTGTCGCAGAGGTCGCGGCGCGGCGCCATAGTGTCTTTGTACAGCTCGCTTGTGTGACTACTGGGACTGCAGTCAGCCATAACCATTCAGCATTAAAAGAAAAACCTTTTAAAGATTATATTTTAGAGCATCTTTCGGGGGAAATACTTTCCGTTTTGCAGAATACTGCAGTTGCATTGTACTCTTGCATTGAATAGCGTAACCAGCATTAAACGGGTTAGGGGACGGCGTCAGTCAGGGTAAACAAAACACGTACGCAATACTGGTATAAAAAAGCTTCCAACTCGTGTATTCGGTTCTGTAAAATTATTTCACTTGAGTATATCCATATCTAAAAAGCTATAACTGGTTCTACATAAAATCTCTGGATTAAGATTCTATAATTAGAACCCCACCGACCTTCGGAGTACAATGTACCCTTCATTGTGGCATCTCAAACCATTTTAATCCTGTACTAGACATCCAAACAATATGTAAAGCTAAGGATAAAAACGTTAAATGTCTAACAATACTAGCGATCATTGTTTATCCAAAACAATCTTCGGAGAATGATGAATGTCGAGGATTAAGACCTTTATAAAGAAAGTGGCATATTATTGTAACGATATGAACTTGAACTGTTACCTAAACATTAATGTATAGTCTTAAAACACCCAGCTTGGCAATGACACTAACAAGATTTGTAGACAACGGTCGGAAATAGGTAGGAAACGTTGCCAATTTATTATTATTAATTAACTAACGAAGATGCTAATTACCTACGCGGTCATCGAACTGGCCTGAGACAGTCCACGCAGTAGGTCCGTGATTAGGAGGTCTCTATAAATCAAGTCCATTATTTGCGGTAATTAGATATCCGTAATTGTAGATGTAATTCTTCCAGTTTGGGTGTCATGGCTCCATCGTTGTGCACGATGATTCGGCCAATGCCAGGGTTTTAAAAGGCATAGTTAACACTAACGGCCCGCCCTCGCTTCGCTTCGGTGTAGAGCTGAAGTGTAGACTACAGTTTTTGTTCTCAGGCTTGTATTATACACAATTACATTCATCTATAATTCTTCTTATACCTGCATGCAAAGTCTCAGCCAGATCGGTTTAAAATTGACAAAGTTTCATACAAACTTTCATTCCCTAGTTTATCTCCTTGGGGGTAGAATGACAGTCAGGTAGAATCACTGTCAGTCAGTCACCGTCGAGTTTTATATATATAGATATGCCATGTGTACTGTTTTATTTAAAGTTTCTTACATTATCGTGATTACAGTCTCAGACCTAGATCTCTTGTATGTATTGTGCCTAGACGTTGGAAGAATTCTCCTAATTAAACGTCAAAAATTCTTTATTCCAATTGTATGCACAATACAACTCTTTAGAATCGTCCATATTTTTCCCCCTACCACCAGTTAACGACATTGAAGGCATTACACGAAGATAAAACCAATTTGCCCTAAAATTCTCCAGAAATCACAATTTTGGAGTCAATGACGAAATACGCTCTCAATAAGTGTGTGACTTAAATAAAGCAATAAATTTCTTGTCTATAGATACACGACGTATCGCTCAAATTCATTGTAAATTTCCACGAGGGGTTCCACTTAAAAAGTAATAAACCCGCGCCGTCATTTCCTTATCGGTATTTAGTCGCGCGCGATTCTTATCTAAACATAGATTCTTGTGTAATTTGATGGATGTTCACATTTTTCGGTTTCGGGAAATCATAAGTTATGGCAGGGCTGAAGCAATAGGGGTTACAAAAATACAAATATTACTGTATTAGCACAGAATGCAATTTGGTTTGCGGTAGAACATTAACGACCTAAACTCAAAAGGAATGCATTCAAAGATTTTCCTTATAGCTAAACAGTACATAAACGATTGAGTATGCCCATTTGCAGAAATGATTTTCTAGTATTGCTTGCTATTGCTGCAGTGACTTATTCTCCAAAAATAATTGGTTCCCACAATAACGCTCTTCTTTCTTCAAGGTCCAATCTAAGTTCATCAAAATAATTTGTTTAGAGTTGAAAACAGAACTTTTGCATTTTGTAATATATAAGTATGAATTTAGGAAGTCATTGCTTGTCCGAAACTGTTCTATT